TTCTTTTTCCCTTTCGCCCTCTGCGAGGTTTCTCTGTCATATATAAGGAAGAGAGAGAGAGAAATGAAAGGAAATTATTTAGTTAATTGAGAAAAAAATAATGTCACATTAATGTGACAACTTAGTCAACATCCATGTCTATTATCTCTAATTTTCCGTTACAAATTAGTATTTTAATGAATATGGATTTGGTACTAGAAAATTTAATTAATCTATTTTAATTAAAAAAGATAAATGGCCAATTCGGTTTTTAATGGTTTTAGTTTAGTTTTAATGTAATTCTTATGATTAGGTCTTAATTTTAGTCTATTTTCTATAGTTTTAAGAGTAAAATTACAAATTGGTCCTTTATATCACAATATTTATATATATTTTAATTTTACTCAACTTTAATACARTTATGTAACCTTATAAATAAATAAATAAAATATATATATAATCAATTTTTTTAGTAGGTGCGGGGATCGAACTCACACCCTTTTGGAGTCGAACTATGCTCGCTTTGTCAATAAACATAATCAATTAACAATTAGTCAGGTAGAAAATATCAATTTAATATAGTGTATGTCCAATTTGATTAAACTAACAAAATTATATTATTTTTATTTAAATTATATTTGTCTAAAAAGGAAATCTTCTTACATCTAATATTCAAATCCTATTTATCTAGTAATATCTGGAAAAACCGGTAATATATATATATATATATATATATATTTATTTATTTATTTATTTATTTATTGTTGAATTAATAGATTACACCACGTTTGAACTTTGAAGGAATTTCCTCCACGAAAATTTTAAATTTTAAAAATGTTAAGAAAAGTTTTTTTGACCAGCATAAATTAATATAATACCTTTTGGGGGTTAGTAACGTAGCTATAAATTATGAAAACGGTGGGTTTAATTAAATAAAGCTTGTGTTAAACTTGCTTGTGAGGTATATAATAAGGTTTTAATTAATTAAAATAATTGCAGAGAAAGACTAAAGAGTTTAATTAATTTATTTTTTAGGTTTTATCGTCTACCAATGCTGACCCTTGTGTTTTGACCGTCTTACCCTTGACGCCAAGCCGGCAAGCCCCAGCCACCTTGTTTTAATCCCTACGTCATTAATGAGACCAATTGATGAGTTTTTTCTTTCTTTTTCTTTGGGAAAAAAATGAAGTTTCTTTTAAAATTCGAGAGATTTCGTTGTATTATACTTTTCAATAATATATTATTATTATTTTTTAGTCGTGTACTTAATCAAGTGAATTAATTTTAATCTTACCATTTATTTTTTTTATTTTAAGTATATCATCTAGGGTGGGATCAAATTCACACCCTCTTGATTAGAGATATATGTCAATTACGATKGAGATATTCTCGCTTTGACTTAATCCTACGATTTATTAAATTATAGACTCAATTGATTATGATCATATTTCCTCGAAATCTCTGATAAGTCAGATCACGAGAAAATTCATCACAATATATATATTGAAGTTACATAAATATGTAGCTATTCCCTTTCCATACTTTCTTTAAGAAAATAATGATGACCTTGTGAACTTACCATAAATTGCATTGAGGAGAGTTACTTTGTTTGGTTTCATTTCTTGATTTGAGAATGGAAAAAACTCAGATCAGTGTCTTATACTACCTTTGACCTATGAAATTGGTAGGAAATGATTTCAAATTTTAGGTTTTTAAATAACGGAAATGATTTCAAATTTCTAATTGTGTTTTGAAACCAAAATGATTCTAAATCATTGAAATTAAAATTTATTATTTGGATGTTCACGAGAAATGAAAAGAAAGTTTAACATTTTACTATTATGCCCTTAATATTTTGTAGAATATTATATTATTAATAATATAATATTTTAATATAAACTAGTAATTTCAACTATGGAAACATAAATAATTTAATCTAATAAACCTAACAAAAGTTAAAACGGGTCAATGTCACATTTATTTTGAAAACTAAACTGAAAAAAAAAACTTGCAAATCTCTCGATTTAGTTTTTTTTTCTTTTAGCAACTCTGGATTCAAATATTAAAAAGAAAAAAAAACATAAACATAAAGATCTAAAAAATACTGAAATATGAGGAAAATTAAATTTGAAACTAATTTGGTTGATGATGATGTGATGTGCAAAGAGGGATACATATTCTTTTTCCGTAAGGGCAAAATCGGAATTTGTTAAATTTAATGTGCAAATCCACGTATTTGGAATGAAAATATTTAAACGAAAACTGAATTTCAAATCAAGATTTCAAATTATGTGTTCTTTTATTTATCCAAACGTGAAATGATTTTCAAATCTTCCGTCCGAGAGGTTACAAGCAGGGGTTAAAAGAAAGAGTTAATCATCCACGCTGTTGTTATGGAAGGTAAGAGATTTGCTTGCTTGGTCAGTTTTCATTTTTCTAAATTGAAAAATTGACGTAAATAAATGGTAGGAATTAATATATTTATTAATTGGTTGATTGGTATCATACGTTTATCGATGGGGTGTTAAAAA